GAGCGAGCCCTGCTGCTGCACCTGCCGGCCTTCGGCCGCGACCTGTACCTGCAGCTGCGCCGCGACTTGCGCTTCCTGTCCCGAGGCTTCGAGGTGGAGGAGGCGGGCGCTGCCGGACGCCGCGGCCGGCCGGCCGACCTGTGCTTCTACTCGGGCCGTGTGCTCGGCCACCCCGGCTCCCTCGCCTCGCTCAGCACCTGCGGTGCCGCCGGCGGCCTGGTATTGCCCAGTTCCTTGCGGGTGGGGGGCGCCTTGGCGGGAAGTTTAGCCTTAAACTCTCCGACACGACACCCCTCAGCTTTTGGCAGAGGGTCTGTGCAGAGTTGGGGGGCGGGAAGGGGAGCGTCCGATTGCCCAGTGCCTTCCCCAAGCTAGCACTGAGCCTCTGCGGTGTGCAGGGCCTGCGGGGGTGGATGGCATTGGGATTGCATAGGTGGATGCCGCAGCATGCCCAGGGGAGCTCAGATCTAGCAGGATGAAGCCTTCAGCCTACACTGAGAGGGGCCCTTCACCTGGGTGTAGAGGGAAAACTTTGCGTCTGTACGGGTGTGTGTGTTGGTGAAACCGGTTCAAACGCCTATATGTGTATATCCCCCCTGTTCTTGGATGTGCGCATGGAATGGTGAACATTCATTTTCTTTCTGCCCTTTTGAGTATTTCTGTACCTGGAGAGGAAGTTTGGAGGATCCTCCCTCCCCCACCCTTCCCATCCTCCCTACCCCCCGCCCCAAGGCAGGGACTAACCCACTCTTCTTACCTGAACCGGGAGAGCCAGAAGGAGGATGTTTTCAGCAGATGTTTGTCTGCACCCACCCCCAGCCAGGGCTGAGGGAGGCTCTGTTTACATTGGCAGTAAGACCCTATCCCTGACCTTAGATGCTCCTTTGCTCTGGCAGCAGCTCGCCTCTCCCCTCCTGCTGCATTTGGGGCACCTGTGACAGGTGCTCTGAGGAGCAGCGGATGCTCTTGTGTGCCTGGGGCTGGCACCATCATTTCTCTTAGGCCTCTGTCCCACATGTGCCCACACTTGATCACTTGGTGGCCCAGGTGCCCAGCACACCCTTTCTAGTATCTCCATCCTGCCCCCAAGGAGCACACATGGCTGGCAGATGCGCTGCCCCCAGCAAAGCCTGGTGTTGGGTCAGGGCATGAAAACACATGGTATTGTTCCTATCTTCCATCAGGACTGGCCCCAGGGAGGCAGTTTCTAATAATCTTTGGTGTCTGTCCTTCCTAGACACAAGAAACTGCTCCCCCCACCCCACCTCCAGCTCGTCTTGTTCTACCATCAAGAAGAATTCTCTAGCCCTTAACCACATAGTCTGTGACATGCCCCCCTAGAACCTGCAGCAAAGCTAGGAAACCTGGGGTCCACGTCTCTATCTGAGACAGAGGAGTAGTTATCACTTCTGCTTTCTTCTCAGCAGGGTAGGGGAATGGTGGGGCGAGTTCCTAGGATTGGCCTTCACCAGTTCCCCTTTCAGGAATTTGCTGAGTCCTGATCAGGGTGTGATCCACTTTTGCTCGGCTGGGAATTGGCTGCTTTTGGGTAAGCAGGAAACACTGTGGTGGGGGCCTGGGTGGAGACCAGTATGTCGCCAGGGCAGAGACCGTGGGCTGTGGGTGAGGAGGCACAGGTAGGAGTGAGGCAGGCACACGCTGGTTTAGGACGTAAGTCAGGGCTGTATCATGTTCTAGGAGGGACTGTAAGGGCCACATCATTTTTCGTGTTTTTGCCAAAGTGTTTAAAGTCTAGGTCACATCACTGTACTGTACATGGAAACATCTGAATCCCATTTGCTGCGGTTTAGTAAGTTTCTGTCGAGGTCAGAGTTTATACTTCTTGGTGTAAAGTTTCCAGCGAGGAACTATCTGTGAAGGACCTGAGGGTGGAAATCTGGATAGCATTGATTTTAAATCCTACAGAGAGTGAGTTCTCAGCCTCTCACAGATGGGATCTGAGCAGAGAGAGGGTTCATTGAAGTCCCCTGGCTTTTCAGGAAGGCTGTTCTTCCCTTTGGCACCATGTGAGGGTGCTGTGCTTTAGAGAAAGGAACCTAGCCAAGAAGCCAAGTTCAAAGTGAACAAATTGCTGGTGGACCTCTAAGACTTTATATTTTAAACTCCTGGTTGACCAGACACTTCTGTTGTTTAATCTGCCTTGTTCAGCCCATGTGTATGAAGCTGGGTGTTGAACACGGTTCCCTAATTACACCTAAATGAAGAACTGAAGGCAGGAGGGAAGCTGCCGCGTGGTAACTGGGAAATGGAATTCGGGGTTGCAAGGTGGTCCAGGAAGGCGTAAATAAAAGGAAGCAACAGGAACTCACGCTACCCATGTGGGCATTGCACTTCATCTTACTCCCATTGTGGTTCTCTACTGTGTCTGAGACAGCTCGGCAATGATTTTATTTTAGTTGACTGCTGGGAAAGCACTGGAAGTTGAGATGTGGAGTTGTGTGTGCATCTGTTGGAACTGGCTCAGCTGAAAGGCGTGGGAATGAGGAGAGATGTCAAGTAGATGATTTTGGTGGCTGCGGATGGGGCATTTCAAAACTTCCTCCCTTTCAAAGTATCCAAAGAATCATGTAGTGCAGGGTAGGCAAACTTTCTGTAAGGGACCAGACAGCAAATATTTTGGGCTTTGTGGGCCATGTCGCAGCTAGCTACTCAGTACTGCCGTTTTAGTGCAAAAGCGGGCGTAGACAGTCCATAGACAAACGAACGTGGCTGCGCTCCACTAAACGTTATTCTGATGTCGAGTAACGTTTTAACTGCTAGTACATCCCACCATATCTAACATCTCCAACAGGGCTTAGGGGAGAGTGCTGAGCTCAGGAGCAGGGAGCTGTGGCCTCTGGTCCCAGCTGTGTAGAATCGTGTTGTTTGTCTCTAGATACATTTGCTATCTGTTTAAAGGAGATGAGCGACCAGAATAGGTCATTACCTAATTGTTTATGGGGCGTGAAGAGTAAATTGTGTTTGATTTTGTGTCCCCCCTTTCGGCAGTGGGCAAGACGCAGGCCTGGTGATATCTCCTCTCCGTGCTTATCTTGAAAAGCCGTGCAAGCTGCCCTTCTTGGGCGTTCAAAACCACAGGCTCAAATATTAATTGTTTTCTGTTTCCTTACTTTCCTTACATTTCCGGGAGGCGTTAGACATAGTGTAGGTTTTTGGAAAAGTTTCTGTAACTGTATAATTTCAAAGCGATAGACTGTATGCATGTGAAGAAGGTATTTCCACCCCCTAGGAGTTGATCTACGTTTGGCTGTGCTGCCTCTTGTGAGCAGGCCCAGATCGGGGAAGGCCAGCAGAATTAGAATCAGGTTAAACTTCATTGGGTGGAAGTTTCAGCAGAGATAGAACTTAAAGGACTAGAATGAGTGGCAGTCTCTAAAAAGACTTCGTCTGACCTACTTCCTGAGATGAGTGGGTACAGGGCCTGTTACTCATGTCCCCACATGAGGAAGAGTGAGCAGAGAGGAGGGCAGGGCTGGAGCCCCGCATTAGCTGTGGTTTGTGGAGCAGCGGCCATTCTTCCTTAGAAGAATGGAAGTCCACTCCCCAGAATCTGGCCGTCTCTTCTTGATGGAGGCTGTGGCTGGCCAAGGGAGCACTGTGTGTGCAGTGTTGGGACCAGACAGAACTCTAGGCTCTCTGGGCTGTGGAACATTGAGAAGCCATGCCTGTCTTCCAGGGAATGCTCCTAGCTTGCTTGCCTCCTGTGGACTTACAGCCAGACCCTGCAGGACCCTCAGTTTGGGTCTCTCGTCCAGTCAGCCTCTTACATTCGTGATTTTGTTAAGCTCTTCCTCGCAGTCCACGTGGGAACTTTTGAGAGAATGCTCAGCTTTGTTGTATAGGGAAGAAGTTGACATGTTGGCCAGGTAAGAGTAGACAGAGGCTGAGGTCCACCAGCCCTGAGTTAGAAGAGTTGGGAACCAAGTTCTCAAGAGGGCAGCCTGGGATGAAAAGGCAGGTCTGGGGTGTTACTGCTTCTCTCTTTAGAAAAGAAAGTTATCAATACATCCGACTGATTATAAAATTGCCAGTATTTTCCTGCATTATCACTTGAGCAAATACAGCTGAGTGGGATTTAATCTTGGCTAAAATTATATGAGAAATCCATGGGTAGTACAAAGAGTTAACCTGCTCAGCTGCTAACTGAAACGTTGGCAGTTCGAGTCCACCCGGAGGTGCCTTGGGAGAAAGGCCTGGTGATCTACTTCTGAAAGATCACAGCCACTGAAAACCCTGTGGAGCATAGTTCTTCCCTAAAACACATGGGTCGCCATGAGTTGGAATCGACTAGATGGCAGCTGGTAAAATTATATGATGTGGAGACCATTTGGAAGGGAGCAAATAGGCCAGATTTCATTATTATGCATCATTATATTGATGCAGTCTGAGGAAGGCACGTGGTCCTAAGTGGTCCGTCAATTAATTGTTGTTGTTAGTTGCCGTCCAGTTAATTCTGACTCATGGCGACCCCGTGTGTGCAGAGTAGAACTGATCCATAGGGTTTTCAAGGCTGTGACTTTTCAGAAACAGATCACCAGGCCTGTCTTCCAAGATGCCGCTGGGTGGGTTTGAACTGCCAACCTTTTGGCTAGTAATTGAGCACTTAACCATTTGTGCCACCCAGGAACCCTTTGTCAGTTAATATCACTGAAGAGTTTATCGTGTACGGTGTAACCATATCCAGAAAAGACAAAACACATATTTAAAGTTTGTGAAAAGAAACAATTGAGTGGAAGTAAGGGGGTAGCTTCTCTCTGTTTCATCTGACGGGAGAGTAAGAAGGGCGGAGACAGCTGTGAAGTTTGGCGGCATGGAAGCTTTAAAGGGAAGAATGGGATCTGAGAACTCTAAAGCCTTTGGCCTCCTCCTCTGGCAGGGCCTTCATGCCAGCCTCACAGTGGCTTCCCAGGCAGCCCCGTGCCCTCTCTTGCTCTCCATACTGTTTTGATCTTCCTGATTGCCGTTTACCAGGCCGTCCCTCCCACTGCAGACCTCAGAGCTAGGCTGAGCTCTCTTAGGATGCCAGATACTGGATGCTTTCGACACCACTGCTTGTGGGTGCCAGGTGGCCAGTGACCATCACCTAGGGCAAGTAAATAGATGTTCCGCTTTGAACTTTTAGTTGGCAATGTGTAAAAAAGGAAAAGGAAGTACAAGATGAGATGATGAACCGAAGTGTTCTCAGACTGATGGCGTTC